GATAGACATTAATGGATAATGCTATTGAAGGTTTTATAATGGTAATGTCAAATAAGTTGATTAGATTAAAAACAATAAGTAGCACTTGAGTCAAAATTTGTAGAGCAAATTTAATGGATAAGATAAAGAGGAAAACTATACTCTATTTAAAATGGATAGTGGACAATGTAAGCTTTTGTTTATTAATACAATATTCTTTTTATCATAGTCGATTGGATCTGTGACAAGATGGTGATGCGGGCTGCCAAGTGGGTCGATTTTGCCTTTATAACACCCAAAGATACACAGTTCATAAAAATCTGCGGTGTTACAGAGATAATATCAATATAATATCACTTGATACTTATTCCAGCTAGGATTTTGCTATTTGTACATAAAATATATACATAATGGATTACATAATATGATGTGGATGGAAAAGATTAGATGAAAAAGTTTATTATGTTTTAAACTGGCAAATGATAGTGTCATGTGGCATTATATAATTCATTATGTAAATTTTTATGTATATGTAGCAAGATCCTTCTAGTAACTAGAATCATATTTCGTAGTAATACAAAATTTTCTCATGGAAGTACCTTCATGAAAATATCTCTTAGTTGCTCTTCACTCCAACAATGCTTAAACCCTATCTCTTTATCTGATTTAGCTTATATGATGAAGTGACACTTGATACCATTGTGTAACATTGGATTTTTAGCAATTGCTATTGCGAACTTGCTTTCCCAAATATATCTTTGTACCCATACTTCATGGCTCTCCCATGTCTTCAAGTATATACTTTAGCCATATAGCTTTACTAATCTTCATTGTTGCTGCAATACAGCAGATGATTATGCTACTATTGCTTATTTCTTTGACGCCCCAAAGAATATTTATAAACCTAGGGCGAATGCATATCTTAATGTTTTTTTTCATTTCATCCACAATTCCTATCTAATCAAGTGGATCGATACCATATGTCGAAATCATTTGATCTGTGCAAGTATCTCAATATCCATTTTGTGGTTCCATAATGAACTTAACTTGGACTCATAAATTTTGAAACTAGGCTAGTTGCATACATAATGTCTCAACTTATAGTTGTGGGATAGAGTAAGCAGTCCCCTGTTTGTGTAGTGTTTCATTTATTCTTCAATAAGAGTGATAGATTTTCAATGTGGAACAAAATGACACCCATAGTAGAGTTCCAACATTTTAACAACAAAAGATTTCATATTGGAATTTTTAATTGCGTTGAACAATATGTTCATAACAGAGTGGTGGATCGTGTTGTTATTAAATGGATAATGGACTTTACATTTTAATATTATGGGTTTTTCTTTTAATGATTAGCCCATTGATATATTTTTTATAGTATAATATTTAAGGAATACACAATTACTATACTATAATAATCACATTTCACAACTAACAATCATATAAAATGCTTTCATAAATCAAGTTGTAATAATTCAAATTAATAAATATATAACAATATACAATATGCAATATACATTAGTGGCTTCTCACCACACATACTCTACCCCCCCTCCAAAAAACAAATGCAAGGATATTTTTTGTCGCAACAAGCTCTCAAAAACGTACACTCGCTCTCTCCAAATGCATACTCTCTCTCTCTAAATAAAAAGTATATATACGCACATCATCTCTATTTGAGACTTTCTCTCTTTCTGTTCATACAATCCTCCCTTCTCTCTCAAAACCAAACATAAGATGTTTGAGAGAGATGATGTAATGGCAAACTGATATGATTCGAGATGCGCCACTAATTATCAAAGAAGTGATGATTAATTGGAAGAAACCAAAGCCATGTTCAAGATCTCGAGGAGCTAATGAAAGTCACACAATTGCTTAGTCGAGCTATGGAGATCAAAAGATTGAAGAGAACATGCCAAAGTACAAGTGTAAAGTGGGAAGGAAGATGGCCGAAACATTTGGATACAACACAAGTCAAAAGGCCAAGGAGGAGTCCAACTAAAAGCCATGCAACCACATGGCATTGCAGCTCATGCGATCACACAAGAGGAAGTAGGGAATTGTCCAACACTTTTCGTGTGGTCTATGCGACTGCATGGCAACACACGGTGCGGTCGCATAGACCAATGCTGGCACTGAATTTCCAGCTTTGGCAAGTTTCCTTTTTACACTATAATTCTAATATTTTACTATCTCTAGGATATCTTTGGACGTGTTTTTACCTTTTTTTTTTAATTAGGTTTTAGGGTTATGATATAAAATAGGAGTTATTTTCATTGTATTGAGGACTTTTTGCGTATTGAAAATTAAGAGGTAAGTTTTGCTTTCTACTTATTCTTCACAAAAAATCTATCGAACTTATCGTGTTAATTCTCGTGACGTTCAACCAACGAAAGTGAGATTCATAAATTGGGTAATCATGAGGTCAATGTATTCTTGTAATTTTCTTGGTTTCAGATTCAATAGTTTATTGAATTGAACTTTAAATTTCGGATTTTGATTTCTTTAATTGTGTAATCAAAAGGTCAATATATCCGTGTGACTATATTGGTTGTTTGATTCATTATTTTTTGGTTAAATTCCATAAACCTAATTGTTTGGAACTTTTTTGGGTCCGATTCAATTTCGTTGCGGGTTCCGTAGTAATCTAGCTACGCGGGTTCGCATCACAAACTCTCGATCTCAGCCTCATCTCGCCATTTTCACCATAGTCGGTTGACTCTTAGTCTCGACTTCATCTCGTGCTCCACATGCATTGATATTTGACTTCGATAGAGTGATTTTAGAATCTAGACATCTTCATCATCAAGTATATAATGATGCTTTTACTCATTTCAACGTTCGTTGTCCCTCTTATATCTGGTCACACGCAATCACTTTTTTTTCTTTTTTAAATTAATACCTCCAAAATTTATAGATCAACCCGCACGTATGGCGGAGGAATACTATGAGTACAAATTCAAATCGCAAATTGACAACCTTAAAGACAAACAGTTAATAAATTCGTACATATGGAAAATGATTTCTATTTGATATGATCAAGTTGGTAACTGCAATAGGCAGATCTACCATTTCATGAAAGACTGTTGTGTTTCTATCTTGACCAATTTTAGATAAAGCATCTGCAACTTGGTTTGCTACCCCAAAAACATGCCTGAAAACCACTTTTCTTCCCATCGTAAGATCATTTTTTTCCTCCCATTCTTTCCAGAATTTCCATTCTGTACATCTTTTATTGAGGAACTAATTCACAACAACTTGAGAATCGCTTTCGATAATAATCTTTCGAAAATTAAGTTCCACACATATGTGAATGCCATCTAGAATAGCTTTTAGCACCGCCCATGTATTGGTGCCATGACCATAGAACGTATGAAAGGCATAAATAAACTCCCCTTTATCTGTCCTGATTACCCCACCTCCACCACAATTACCAGGATTTCCTATACAACATCCATCAATATTTAGCTTAACCCAAGTAGGAAGAGGAGGTATCCAAAATACAAACTTTGTAACTTTATTAAGCGGTTTTTGAATCAGAATTCCCAAAGCACGTAAGACAATACAATCAGACAAAGATAGCCTAGACATCTTAGCCGCATTAGCACATAGTTCGCCAATCCACCACTTTACTAAACCCAAATCTGATCATAATTAATAGCAAGAGCTTCCATTTTTTTTCAACACCTAGCTATCCAAATAGCCCAAAAAATAAAAACAGGGGAAAAGCCAATAATCATACCTACTTGCGAAATTTATGATGCTTTGGAGAACCAAAAATTCATCCTTTGCCTCCAACCCATTAATGTAATGTGACAGATGCCTATGACCGTTGATAGCTGAACCCAAAGGAATTTTGCCAGATCATTTCCATCCGACAAATGGTCAAGGGACTCAATATGGGGTCTAACACGGCATACCAGACTAATTATCTTGCCAAAAATTAACATCTCCGTATTTGATATGCCATACTGAATTATCAATGACCATAGGTATCAAATTGGCTATGCTCTTCCAGAAAGGTGAGTTCAAAGTTGAAATCTAAATCTCATTATAAGAGTTGTGAGGAAAATACTTTGCTTTTACGAAGGTCAATAGTAGAGATTCTGAGAAACAAATTTTCCAAGCAAATCTTGTTTTTAGAGCCACTTGTACTTCTGCTAAGTCACGAATGTCTAGGCCTCCTTCTGACAAAGGTTTTGTAATTTTTTTCAAACTCACCCAATGATGTTTGGCTTTACCATCTGCCTCTTCCCAAATAAAATTTGAGATCAAAGAGTGAATCTGATGAATAACCCCCTATGGTACGCACATGACATATAAGATATGTATAGGCATGCTTGAAAGAACATGCTTAACAAGAGTTAATCTTCCTCCAATCGATAAGAGTAAAAATTTCCAGCCTAATATTTTCTTTCTCACTTTCATAACCAGTGGCTCAAAATGTCTGATGGACAAACGGCCCGGAGATATTGGCACATCCAAATAGGTAATTGGAAAAGACCCTTCTGAGAAGCTACACAACTAGAGTAATTCATTCTTTCTCGGTAAGGATATGTGCTTCGAAAAAAATATAGCTGATTTCTTGTGATTCACTTTTTGTCCAGACATATTTTCATAGATACATAGAACCTCCACCACTGCTTTAATAGACGATTTGCTTCCCTTGCAAAAAATAATTAGATCATCAACATATAATAAGTGAGAGATGCGAGGTCCTCCAATAGGGAGAGAATAATTTCCAATGCGTTGATCCAAACAAGCTTGTCGTAGCATGCATGTAAGAGTCTCTTCTGCAATAATAAATAGGTATGGAGAGAGGGGATCTCCCTGGCGAATTCCCCAGGAAGATTTGAAAAACTCTCGATAAGTACCATGCATCATCACTGAAAATGAAGGTGAATCAATACAGTTTTGTATTAGCCAGCGAAATCGTGTAGAGAATCCAAAAGCGTTTAGGACTGCCATCAAGAAATTCCATTCAACCCTATCATATGCCTTCATCATGTCTACTTTAAGCATTACATTCCCACCTCAACCTTTCTTGTAAAACTTCGAAATAGCTCTTGTACTAGGGCAATATAGTTGAAAATACTTTGACCCCCAATGAAAGCCCCTTGTTCGTTCGAAATAAAATTACGAAGTAAAGGTGGCAATCTGTTAACAATTACCTTAGTGAAGCATTTGTAGATCACAGAACATAGGCTGATGGGTCTGAAGTCTCCAAAGCCGCTAGGAACCTTGACTTTCTGGATAAGAACAATATAGGTTGACATGTAAAAATTGGGAAGCATAGAACTACTAAAGAAATCAACCGTAGCCTCCCAAACATCTTCTCCAACTATATCTTAACAACTCATATAAAAACTGGATGAGAAACCATCAGGGCCAGAGCTACTATCCTATGGAATGCTTCCCATTACAGGTTTCACTTCCTCGCGAGAAGGAGTCTCGGACAATCTGATATTATCTTCCGATGATATACTCAGTGTAATCAATGAATTCAACAATTCCATCTCCGGTATGACATTCTCAATAGTAAGTAGCTCATGAAAATAATCAATTGCTCCGTCATGGACCGATTGCGGGCTGTCAAGTTTTGATCCATCCTGTAAAGTCATGCTGTAATTCCAAGATTTTTTCCGACGTTTGGCTATTGACGCATGAAAGAACTTGGTATTAGCATCCCCCTCTTTTATCCATTTCACTTTAGTTTTTTGAGCCAAGAAGCTTTCTTCCCGCCGAATCCAGTCCTTCAATTCAAGCCTTGTTGCAATTAATTCCTTTTCATCCTGCACATTACCGAAATTTAATACTTGATCTTCGAGCCTAACAATTTTGTCTTCTAACTCCAATATGCGGCATTTGATATTCCCAAAACCACTTTTGTTCCACTTTCGCAAAATTGGTTTTAACCTCTTCAATTTTACTCCAAGTTTGAATAAAGGTGAATTTCTAGTTGGTTCTTCCCAATTTTCTTTGACAAGAGGTAGAAAATCTGCGTGGTCTACCCATATCCACTGGAAATAAAAAGGTGGTGGTCCATAACGTTCTTGCTGAGCCAAAAATTGAACTAACAATGGGCAATGATCAGAACTAGATCTCGATAAAACCTTAGCACAAGCCACTTCAAATTGAGTTAAGAAAGAATTAATAACTAAGATTCTATCCAACTTCTCCCAAATGCATCCTTTTCCTTCTTGCATATTACAACATGTAAAAATCATAGCTTCTGTTTGAAGATCTTGAAGGCCACAGGTTGATATACAGTCGTTAAATTCTCGCTTTGGTAAATCTTGTCTCGGTATCCCACCAACCTTTTCTGCATCACTACGAAAAATGTTCAAATCACCACCAACTAGCCAAGGTATGTCCTGGCTTGCATATTAACCAAATCCCTCCATAAGTCGAAGCATCCAATTTGAAGAAGCTTGCATAAACAATAGTGACTAGACAAGAGACCCCTTCCTTAGTAAATATACCGGTAATATGCTGACGTGAAACCGATACTTCCTCAAATAATAAGTCATCCTCCCAAAAAAGCCAGAATTTCTCTTTAAATAAATGATTTGAAAAATAATTAGGAAGACGTAACCTGGGAGTCCATCTTCTAATCTTCAAAATTGAGTGCAAAGGTTCTAATATTGCTACAATACTTGGATTAAATTTAGACATAATATCCTTGAGTTGAGTCATGGATGTTCCCAACCCTCTAACATTCCATATCAATAGTTTGTCCATCATTTAGAAGAAGTTTTAGAGCGTGTTAGAACCTTGGACAGCAAAACGACTTTTTTCTTTCTTTGACGTTGTGAAGTCGTGTATTCGACCTGTGCCATCTTTCCATTCTCATCCTCCAAATCCCCACGAATAGTACATGTCACAACAGATTTCCTCTATTGCAATAGTTCAGCTGAAACATCAGGTTGATAATCATTTAATTCCATTTGGCTAGGGGGCTGAGCGGTCCCATTCATTTCCTGTATTGGCTCCTCTGTTATACCCACTTCTACCTCAATAGCCTCCTTCACATGTTGAATAAAAATTTCCTGTTGCAATATGTCACGATAATCACCGAACTCCTGTAAAGGCGTTTCATTTCCTGTGTTTCCCTCTAATGTTAAGCGTTCATTATGGTGTTCAACAACAATATGTTCAAAAGACTCAATTTCCTCTTCATTAAAATCTGGAGCCTTAGGCAAATCTCCAATTTCTTTCAATACTTCAGTCACAATTTCAGCTTTCTCAGTAGAATGAGTCATTTGTTGCTCTATTGTAATCTTATTCCCAATTTTACCTGCCGTGATTTCAACGTCTTCATCTGTAACATGATATTTTGTGGAGATAGGATCCAAAGGCAGATTATTTTTTGATGGTTCCTCCTCCTCCATCAAGTGTACAATAGGTCGATATTCCTAGCGCACTCAGCTTCGTTTGAGCAAATTCTCCTCACCTTTGGTTTTGTCTTCCACCATCTTTCCGGCCTGAATTGATTTAAGTCGTTTGCACGTTCTATCTGAGTGCCCCTGGATATGACAGTGTTGACAAAATGTAAGCAATGTTTCATACACAATTTCTTGATAATGGCTTGCAGCATGTCCCGGAGGTCCAATCCAGAAAGAATCAAGTCGTGGTTTCGTTAGATCCATCTCAACACATACTCTAGCCCCCTCAGGACGTGAACCACAGATAGTCGCATTATCACGCTTCAGAAAACGTCCAATTCCCCCAACCAAAATTTGGAACGTGGAATGATAGAAAAAATTGGGAGGCAGTCCAGGAAGAAAAATCCATACCGGAGCGAAAGGGAGTTCTTATCTTCTCTGAAATCGACTGTCCATTTGAACATTCTGTACGACACACCGCTCACGTCGAATATTTCCCTTGAAACTGCAGTAACAAAATCTGCCTCATTCATGATACGAACCAGAAGATGTCGAGGATTTCTCATGGCCCTGATCACAGGCATCTCTGAAAGTCCCCATCTTACTTTGATAGAGCCCCCGAATCTGGTCAACAGAGGATCACAATGAAGACAAACTTGGTCACAATCGATTACAATTAACACAAATTTGATCAAAGTTAACATATAATTTCTAATTCTAACCATTACACCACCATTTGCACCTGCACCTAACACCTGCAAGCGTTGCATGTGATGATAATGAATTGGAGTTTATATGCGGATGGTGGTGGTAGTGAGGTTGTGGCAACGTTTTGGATACTGTATGGTGGCAATAATGGTGCGTTGTTTGTGATCAAACAAATGTTATCTATAATTAACTGTAATCAAATTTCTCTTCGATGTGATCATCTATGACCATGTTGATCTTAACTGTGACTGTATGTGACTTATTGTTAATTTGGTCACATATAGCCACAATCAAAACGGATTTGGTCACAAACAACCACACCCATCGCTGCTACAAGAAACACCAAACATCCGCAAAAAGCACAAAAATTCAGTTGGCCACGACAAACTACCATAACCATGACTCAGTAGCAAACCCCCAAAACCGTTACAAAAGCTAGATTTTATCAGACTGTGCAGCTACTACAAAGTATCAAATATGGTTTTCCCCAAAAAGATTTCCAAATCTTCATCGTTGCTATAGCAACACTCACTCCACTGTAATAGTGTCATCGTTGCAAAGGCCCTCACTAGGCGTCGTGGTGGGTGGTCACTCATCGAAGTCGGAGATCGAAAATGGACGCGAGAGAGAGAGAGTGTGTGTGGGGGGGGGGATGGTGTGGGAGTGAGATGGGTGAGTTGAATTATTAGTAATATATTTATTTGATCGAGGAATTCCCGTGCCGTAGCCATCTCTATTTTCAGTTCCTATTAGTCTATTGATGGTCAACAGAAATTAGTCTCCTTAGTTGATTTTATGAGGTGACTATTTTAGAGAATTTTTAACATGTTCGAGGGTTCAATGCGATAACATAATTACATTTTCTGTTTTGTTTCTCCATTTACTTATTTATTATTTTAACATCATTAATTGATTCAAACGTAAAATAAAATAGAAATAAGGGAAGGGACTTTTGTTCTCCATCCCCTCGCTGATTTTCTGAGAAATTCGGGCTCCATTCGAGACGAGACAATGCGGGCGAAATTAGGAAAATGTTTCCGTCCTAACGTGAGTATTGCTTGGAAAGAACTTTCACAGAATTTTCATTTTATCTGGTAATGACTTGGACCCGGTGTGATTGTACCTACCCCCGTTGAAAATAGAATAAAATGCTTCCATAATTTGTCCCTTTCCTGTGATTTGAGGAATAATTGTGGAAAATGAAGTGAAAGAAACCTCAGTGGTCAAAAAATCGTTGTGGAAAAATCATATAGAAAATAAAGATAGAAATCATCCAAAATACAAGTCAAGAATATGATTCTATTTCCTGGAAAATTTTATGAAGAAATTTGCGATCTTCATATGGAATTATGTGTTTGAGGTGGTGACGATGATTTGGATGGTGCGAGCTTTGAGGTTTGTTGAGATGAGATGAAATAAAATGAAGATTGAGTGTGATCAATTAATTTGATAATTTGTAATGAATACTAAATTCTGACCTATAAAAGTTGTGTTATTAGTAATTAAATATATACTTGTGACCAACAAATTGCATCCTTATGACTATGATCTTGTATAATTTCTGATTGGTATATATGATAAAAAAGAAAAAGAAAAAAAGAAGTGTCATTGTGAACGTTGTCTCTTAAATTAAATTATTGGTCAAAAAATGTTTCAATCAATTTTTTGAAAATTTTCATCAAGTTTCTTATTTTTAAATTTGTATTTTGAAGCCCATGCATTTTTTCCTAAACTAAATTGGAAAAATTCATATATGCCCCTATACAAAAAACTAATTCCCAATTTACTATGTGATGGGAATGTTTTAAAAAAATACTAAATACAATATTAATTATTTTTAAATATACTAACTTCCCAAAATATAACCCAAAATACACTTTGTAACTGATCCAATTTGAATTCAACCAAATTCACGTTATGCATTTAATGACTTTCAAAATCATACATAAATTCTAAAAATAAAAATAAAATAAAAAAAATAATAATAATGTTATTGTAGAATATTAGTTCTTTGACACAGAATATTTTGAAACTTCATCTTCTACAAATATAGTTCAGGATACATTTTTTTGGAGGGATAGTTTCTGTTTTTGATTTCTATTCGCACCAGATATGTTGATTACAATATAGAAGATGATTCGCAAGAAATATAACGTAATTGGTAAAGAAATTGGAGAATACATTTTCGCAAAATTCATCTCCATTTCTATGTTGTGTATGATCTCTTTCATTTGAATATATACATAATGAATTATCTGATTTTTGCGAAATTGTACAGAAACACAACGGAATCTGGTTCTACGTTCATCATTCAGCCTAAAATATATTGTTTGATAATTTGTTGTGATGAGAAACGTGTCATAATTCTTTTTGTGTTATGTTTCTAAAATATATTTTATATCAAAGTAGCCTTTTCCAACGTCTTCTATATCCCAAGCTTAGAATATATTTTGTGAAAATTACTTTTATTTGAGTAGTAAATTGAAAAACTTCTAAAAGTCCTAAGTAGACCTTTTCTTTTAATAACAGTGAGTTCACAAATTGAGATTACTTCAATTCGAAGTTTTAGTTACTTCAACTGGATGAATCCTATTGATAGAATAATTGAGTCATAATTCAATAACAATTTTGCCTACATATCCCATCCATTTGAGACATGTTGTTGGTCAATGTTACTTGAAAGGAGCTATTGCAATTCAAAATCAATTACATATTTTACTTGAAGAAAAATGTAACTTCACAATTGTAGAAAAAATTCTCTTAAGGTTTGTTTTACTCGTATGTTTAGATGAACAAATGAAAATAGCAAACAACATGTTAAACCAAAGTTGCAATTCTCCAAACGATTCGCACATCTATTTTTCACATGATAGGCAAGAAATTTGATAATACGAAGCATAAAATTGCATAAACTACAAAGGACACGAGGCCGATAGTAAACTGGGGCTTCATGACAAATTTTAGCAGAAAAGGCTTATAAACTCTTCTTTAAGATATCTTCCTTTTTGTATACCTTCTGCCAATAAGGGCGCTGTAGAAGTTAGTCGAATGCCAAAAATCTTTGCGAGAGTTTTTTATATACTCTAAGCACTTGACAGGGGCATGTAATCGAGCGTATCCCTTATGTTTAATCAAATTGATGGTCCCATGGATGAGCATATATTGGCCTTTAGCACCGGATCGCTTGTTTGCTGTTACTAATTTCTGGCAATAAAAGAAAACTTGTTATGGATGCATTTTATAGGGACACTTCAAATTGGTTTCCACAGATCATACAGTAGATAGATTCCAAGAATCTAAAGCAATTTGCAAATATTGCCAAACAAAATTTACATGATAAAAGAGAATCGGAACTACTCGCCTGATCAACTGTTACTATGTGAAATCTTCAGCCAACATGGACTTATTGGAGGAGCACAAACGCAACTTCAATTTGGTATTTCCTATCCCGGTATTAATTCTACTACACTAAGCATATGGATCTACATGGAAGAAAATTGCCATGAAGGAGTCGTGAGGTTTGTTCGGTATTGAGTTGCTGCTAAGCATTGTGAACAATCAACATTTTACAAAGTTCATGCAAGCATATCTTCAACCAAAGTACATTGGTGTAAGTAAAAACACTTTTCATTTCAATTGCATTGATTA